CCCCCCCGGATCTTTCGATTCGATTTTCGTAGAGGGCTGGCCTTTTTGTCAACGAACAGGAACTTTAGCTTAAGGCCCATTCACAGGTACAGTTCATTCATCGACAAACTGACAGTTGAACCGCCGGACGCCAAGGAATCGTTGAACTGACCGTTTGTCGACGAGAGAAGTTCCGTTCAGACGTGATTTTTTATTTTTTTATTTTTTACTAATCTTGGGTCGCTGATCACGATAATCTCCACTTTAAAAAAAATTGACCAATATTTAGGAACTTTTTGGAACGCATTTTCAACTCCGCCTTGGGCAACATCAAAGAAGCCGCACCCTCGTCGTCATGGCTTTAATTCACCAGCCGGAAACTATCTGGGGTCGCCAGACATCTGGTGGCTGGACAGAGAACCCTTCGGTACCGAGAGGATTGCTCGTTTCCACGCTCAGTTTTACCGGGAAGTTGACAGGATGCCCGCCATTCTTTCGATATCCTACAGTTGGTCGATCAGTGAACTGTACGTGGAAAGGGCCCCTTATGCAAAGAGAATGGGATTCTTTATCGCCAAACCGGATATATTGTTTAGATTTCTTAAAAAGAAAGGGATTACTTATTGACAAACCGGACATTTTGTTTAGATTGCTTAAAGAAAAAGTAATTTTTACCTTGGGTTAGGACCTTTATTTTTTCTTTCTTCAAATATTATTGCTCAAAAGATTATCATTTCCATATCTTGGAATTGCAAAGTTCCATCTGACATTTTTTGGGTCCGTTTTGAGTTACTAAGACCATGAGATCTGTAACCAAAATGTTCTATCTGCTTTATCAAAATCGTAAGATTATCCGGAGTCGTTATCAAGAAATTCGAAGAATTGCATTCGAAAAAGCTTGACATGTTGTGAAATTCCAAATATTTTAAACGTTTAATTTCTCAAAACTAGGTACTGAGCAGATGGAACTTGGTCATTCTAGGGTAAAGTTGTTCCCGAATCCGATCAGGACATTGGGGATTGCCTTGTTAGTGAGACAACTTCCTGGGCCTTCGCCCAAGAAAAGACAGAAACTATAGCACACGTTGGTCAAACTCGGTGTACATAGCGTTGAGCATAGACACCACCTCCACCTCCACCACCACCACCAACAACAAGAACCACAACAACCACAACGACCACAACAACAGCACCCACCTTGTAGACACTGTGTGTCTCGCTCAGTTGGTCAAACTCTGTGTACATAGCGTTGAGCATAGACACCACAACAACAACACCACAACCACAACAACAACAACAACAACAACAACAACAACAACAACAAACACCTCCACCACCCCCACCACAACAACGAACACAACAACCACAACAACAGCACCCATCTTGTAGACACTGTGCGTCTCGCTGAGTTGATCAAACTCTGTATACATAGCGCTGAGCATAGACCCCACCACAACAACACCACAACCACAACAACACCATCATCACCACCAACACAACCACAA